TTCTTAGGTGCTCTATGGCTTGCAACCCTTACGCTTAGGCTTCTTCTTCAATTGTTGGAACTGGTTAAAACTTCATGTCTTTATGTGGGTGATTAGTGTTGATGGTAGGGTGTCTTGCGGTGATCGAAGAGGCACCGAGGGGGTTTATAGGAGCTTGATGGCAGGGCCAAGGGATCGGGTGCGTGCCATCAACGGCGCCACTAATCGGCATCATTTTGAAGGAGGCGGCTTCATGGAGGGACAACAAGACCATCCTTTTTAGGCACGGAGGTCATGACTCAAGCGCCGCCACATAGCAAGTCTTTGTGGAATGCGAAAAGGTACAACTGTGTGGTGCATAGAGGACGGCGCCATTGGCGGCCTTGTGGGGACAAAGGTGATGGCTCGAGCGGCGTCGTGGGCGGTGGTGTGTGCGTGGTGTGTGTGTGGAGAGGGACATTGGCGTCTGCAGAGACGATGACACTAGTGTGTGGGGAAGGATCGTGGATGCATGGATAACAACTGCGTGCGCGGCATCCACGGCTTTCATATGCCACCATCTATGCACTTTAGCTGGCTTTATACTGTGGCTTGGTGCGCCGCGTCCGCCGTAATTCATGCCTATCATGGACCACGTCTTTCTACTCTTTTTCTCGCTGCTTTGGTCGGTCCTTCGCTTCTGCACCCATGCTGACCCCTTTTCTTGGGTCAGCAAACCCTGCTGCTAGGCCCCACCTATCAACTTTTTTTCCGACCACGCCGCCTGAGACACATGGTGCACCCCACTTTTCGCTATAGCCCCACTATAGGCGGTGAAGCTTCTCGGAGAAGCCTTGCCCTAGCCCTCTACAAAATGAGAACCACCCCGCTACCTTTCCCAAGCATCCCCCTCATTGAACCACCTCACCAAAGTTCCTTCCTCCTTGACCAAAGCCCATGGCCTCATCGGCCCATTGTGCCCTTGCCTTCAACCCACAAACCCTCCTAGCCAACCATGCAGGGGGATGGTCAAGGAGTCTGGACTAGCAACACCGCCAAGGCATAAAGGGATTTCCCAAGATTCTCAGATACCACCACGCAGTTGGCTGGGAATCCGAGAGGTCCCGTGTATGAAGGTCGTGAGTTCATAGAGCATGACACCGAGCGGTGTGAGGTCATCGTCTACATCGGGAAAAGTGAGAACTCCACCAAGATTGATGGTCGGAGCACGACCACCATTGGTTTTCGTTTCGATGCCTATCAAGCGGTAGCTCGCAAAGCTCTGCGACTCCTATGCCAAATCTATGCAGGACCCTCGCCCATACCCCCATGAGGTTCTTTCCGCTTCGGACAAGGACACTCCATTCTGGAGGACACGCCTAGAGGCTCTGCAAGGACGCCCTCTGCAAGCAATCGACCCTCTTTGTGGTGTCCCTAGCCACATATCTGTTGGCCTTGGATGAGCACCATGAGAAGTGGCCTCTCGAGTTGAGGAAGTGCGCCGCCGAGCCAAGGGGCGGAGGCCTTCATCAGAAGCTCCATGTGAGCCTTGCCATGGCTCGCGCCCAAAACAGCCGGGCCGCCAAAGCCGTGAGATCACACCTGAAGCCATGTGGGAAGTGGGGAACCGCCACGCCAAGCAAAGCTAAGAGAAGCTTACCTTGTCACCGAGACCAACGGAGGATGTCTGCCTTAGACGGGCAACACCCCTCGATTCCGAGGGGGATACCCATCTATCCGTGGGAGAGGGAGAGCAGTGTGGCAGCGCCTCAAGCACCACCACCCACTCCCATAGAGGCCTCTGAAGTGGAGTCTCCCTTCCATGCACATGCCCCAAGCCTCCCGCCAGAGAATTTCAAGAGAGCACCGTGAAGCCATCTGTCTCGAGGAAGTAGATTAGTTGCTCCCCTAGAGTTGTATCTTTTCTGTTTCTTTGTGTTGTTGAGTTTTAGCGATGTCGTATCCTCTTTGTTATGTCGTCCCGCTTTGTATTACGCAATTGTGCCCTTGAATGAACTACTCCCCTTGTGTTGGTGTGCCTTTGTGTTTTTTTAAAAAAAGCCACATTCAAAACAAACCAATGCTAAACACTGTGAACATACAAAAGAAATGGAATCCCAAGTCCATTGTAGTTGTTGCTCAAAAGAAATAAAGTGCATAACAAATTATCGTAAAAACATAAAAAAATGGTAAGCACGTATTTGGTGTGAAATAAATCTACAATGACAGTAATAAAGACATATTTCTTAAGTTGGTCACCCGCAGCGAAGCGCGGGCAAAAGTGGCTAGTTAGTATATAAAGCAGGAGACTTTGGCCGCCTCTCAGGGAGGCCATGTCGTCTGAAATCCTTTAGCCGTCCGATTCTGCGATCGACGCTCGGTATTGACTCCACCGGTCGCTACAGCGCAGCCGCGTCCGCTGCCTCTCGTTATAAGTCGGAGGGCGAAATTTCACTTGGAGTACATCTCCCGGACGAATGATGGACCGTGGCGATGGTCGCATTTCTCTCCTCGCCAAGCTCGGCCTGGCCGTCCTGACGTGCAACTCCCTCGTGGCCGCCTACAGGTCGTGGGGCGACCCGGGCTCGCTCGCGTTCGTGGCGCTCGCCTACGCCGCGCTGCTGCTCCTCCTGCATTTCCTGCGCAGGTTCGAGCTCGCGGCGGCGGCGCCTGCGGACAGGGGGAGGGCGAAGGCGGCGGTCTGGACGCTCTCCACTCTGCTCACCGCAATGTTCGCGGCGAGGGTGGCTCCGCTGATGCCGCTGCCGGTCGGCGTCGCGGTCTGGGCGGTGGCGGCCGTGACGGCCGGCGGTGGCTTCTGGGCGCTATTTATTAGTCACTGACGAGGCTAATTCAGAATGCATGCCCAGTGCCCATATCGAGCAAGAGTGAGGAGGGAGTGCGTGCTCATGCTGAGCAGTGAAGCCAAAGGCCCAGCGTCTCTGGGTGGCCGTCGGGGTCGCGTCAGGTCGATACAATTGCCTTTTCGTCTTCGTGTGTTTAAAAAGAATCCCTACCTTACTGCCTTACTCCATTGTATTGAGTTCGGTGTCACTGTGCCAGGCTGCGGGGTGCTGGACTGCTGGCTATATGCTTCTTGCTGCAGGCTGCCATTGTAAAAAAAAAGAGACATGAAAAGTAAAGAGAAGATGAGGAAGAAGATGCTGCGCAGATGTTACTGTACTGCGGTGGTGCAATTAAATGAAATTACTGACATACTCATTACAAGTTACAACCTATATGTTTTTATTGTCACACTAGATTCATGCCCGTGCGTCGCACCAGGTGTATTGCGGCTTATTACATGTACACATTATTTTGAGCAATAGGAATTATACAAGAACTTTTACATGGGATACATATAAAAACAATAAACATTAAACTCAGGAAATAAATAAACAAGCCCGTAACAAAAATTTGCCCCAAAACCATATTCAGCCCACTTAAAACGGCCCTTCAGTAGCTCCCCCGGGACCCTTTATTCAGGCGCAAGAATTTGGCCTGCAGAACCTGGGCCCTTGTCTCGAGTTCGCGCTGGACCGCGCTGCTCCGCGGCCCACTTAGCCCTGAGCATCGTCGGCCATTAGATGCCATCGGATGGGTCACATTCTCTCCGCCCGGATCAAAACCGAGTTTGGCCGTCTGAAATCCCCATTTCCTTCTCCCCACGTTTTTTCTGGAGCGGACAGCGGCGTAAGCGGCAGCGGCGACGACGAGCGCCGACCGCGCGGGGCGGAGGGAGGTGGCACCGCTGGCGGCCCTCTCGCCGGAGCGCGCGTGCTGCCTAGGCTGCACGAGGCTCCGTCGAGGGGATCCTCGGCGTTGCCCTGTTCGATGAAGGCGAGCGGCGCCCACGCAGGACTCCCACGGCGGCGGCTGCGCGCTCCCTCCCCAACTCTTCGCACGGAGACGGCGGCCACCACGCCAACGGCGGTGCACGTGGAGCAGACGGCGAGTGCACGACGCGGAGGGCGGCGGGTCCGCTCGAGGCAACCAGTGCCCCGCGTGTCCCTGTCGTTTCCTCAGGAGGCCGATGCGCCGCCGTCAACGACGACGTGCTCGTCGTTAAGGTAATCCCGCCGCCGTGAATCATCAAAAGAGGTGCTAGGGTTTCTGAAATTTTGGGTAATTTCCTTGGCTGCGCCTATAATCGTCTTCCCTGCAGCGACTCCTCCGCGCCCGCGTCTACCCGCAACCCCGGCAAACGCATCGGAGGCGCAGCTCGGACTTAGCGGTTTCGTCGGGCCATTGTGCCGGCCCACCGCGCGGGGCGCGCGAGGTCGTGTTCAGCTGCAGCAACAAGCAGGGTGCGTTTGGGAGCACTCCATGGAGCGGATTCTCGAAGAGAATCACTTCCTGGCTGCCAAACGGTTTTTTAAGAGTGAGTGATTCTCTGCTCATTCTGTGAAGTGATTCACTAAGAGGCTGAGAACTGAAAAAAAAAGTAGCTTCTCCTAATTCTGTGAAGTGATTCTCCATAGTGATTTTAAGAGTTTATGCTAAAGAATCAAATAGAATCATTTTCAGCCTCAGAATCACTTCACCAAATAATCAGGAGCACAGCTGGAGAATCAGGGAGCACAGCTCCGCCAAACGGACCCACAGTTCTTTGCCTCGTGCGGGGATCTCTCGTACTCCTTGGCACCGCCAAGCACCGCCACCGATTTTTTTTTCCTTTTTCCAATTCTGATCTCGAGGAGTTTGTTTCTGCCTGTAGGATTTTTGGTTCCCTTTTTCCGATTCCAGTTTTGGTTCTGTGGGTGGACGATTCCCTTAGAGGCTTATTAGGTTCCCTTTTCCCTAGGCCTGCCTAATGTTCGCTGCATGATCTGTGGTATTATATATGTGTCGAATATTATGTATGAGTTTGGTTAAAAAAAATTGCAATTCGTAAATTTGGTAAGAGTCGATATACAAATGGATTTGGATTAGGATTCAACGTTTCCTTCTAGGATAGAATGTTTTATATAACAGTTTTGACCTGACCTCCACAAACAGCCTCCGTCGACCTCCAACCCTAGAGCTTCGCTACTTCGTCCTCGATGAGCCGCGGCAAGGATGTCTCCGTCCCTCCCCAGTCATCTAACCTTCCTTCCTTGATTTTCATTGACCACGATGCCGATGTCCGTCCCTGGAAGGGGGTGCCGACTCCCGACGACGACGTCCCACTCGATACAGATTCAGCCATGCCGGGCTCCTCAGTCACTCCCCGCCATCCCTTACCGGGGCCGAACTCCAGATTCCCTCCCCGCCATCCGGGGTCGAACAGATTCCCTCCCGGTCATCCGATGAATCCCAATCCGGTAGAGTGGAACTCCCGCAACCCCTCATCCCAAGCCTCAGGTTGTTTCTCCTTGATTAGCTCCTTGTCGTCCAAGCTCCACTTTGATCTACCTTCGAGTATCTGCAGCGGCGGCGTCCCCGCCTACAGCCGCACCATATATGGGCCGAGAGAAGTTCGGGACAATTTCCACCGTAACCTAAAGGAAGATGAGTTTAAGCGAGTTCTTGCCAAGATCGAGATGATCTACCGCGAGGTGGAGCTTGACAGAGACAAACTGGAGAGCGGCTACTGCTGTTGCTTGGGCCTTCTGAATCCCAAAGCAAACATCCTCGTCAACAGCTCTATTTTCTGCAGCAATGCTTCATCGTCGCCGGCCAGTAAGGGAGGAGACATGGCCCAGCGGTCGCTAGACGGCCTCATCACCTTCCTAACTTGCCTCTTCCCGTACCTCCCGGTCGCGGAGGCCTTGGCGTACCTTGACGCTGTCGACGCCGACCCCCTTGCCGCCGCCGCCGCCCTCATCATCGCCAGACGTGGACGGAACTACTGCTGGATGGACCCTACCATTGCCGCCGCTACCATGGCGATGGCCCTCAAATGCGGAGCAGTTGCCGCCCAGCATCCAGACCCATCCCTACTAGTGAAAGGATGGACGAGTCTTTCACATTACCTGCATCAGATCGCCCGTCCTCTGTCAGTCCCCCGTCCTGACTTCATTACTGGGAGTTTCGTACTCCGCAGCCTTCAAAATGAATATTGCAATCTTGAGGTCCAAGCTGTGTGGGAACTTGCAGATGACAGGCTTCGTGCAAAGCTTAAGTTTTCTGGTGGTGGCTTACGCTTACCCACAGGGTTTCCTCCTGTCCGCGCAGCCATGAAGCGCATGCTCCTTGCGAAAATCCATGGATTCTACCTGAAAGCACTGTGCAGTCTCCCCAAGGATGAGCTGACCGGGAGGTATCACCGTGCCTTGGTCATGGGTGGCTACTGCTATGGTCCGCTGCAGCCTGCTGCCAACATCATCGTCAACATGATATGGTATGAGCAAACCTTCCCAACAACAACCAAAGGATTGAAGACGATAACCATGATCAGCACCGGATTCCTGGGGCAAGTTGCAGCTCGGTCACTCTATGGCCTCGTATCCTTCTTGTGCACCCGCTACCCGAGCCTCACACCTGACCATGCCATGAAACGCCTGCTGGTGGCGGAGGCCAGCTTGCAAGTTGCTGATCCCAACCTTTTTGATACGCCTAGCAGCTTGAAGATGGACTGGTCTTCGTGTCCACAAATTGAACCAGGCAAAGACACTGATGTTCCCATACAGATGAAAGCAGTTAGGAAGGCCTTTGCCAGTGTCAAAGAAGCATATACTGCTGCAGCCACTGCAGCTTACCACCCCAGTCCACCTGCGCAGAAAGTGTTTCTTGGATCACCGGATTCTGTGGAAAAACTCAAGCATGCCTCAGATAAGTTTCGTCTGGATGATGGTCACCAACTCTTGAATGAAGAATTTGGTCTGCTCTTCATGTCCTTACAAAGGTGCCTATCCTCTGTTGGCACGTTGGACCATCAACAGGAACCTGAACCTACAGTGGTAGGCAAGTCGGAATACGCCGAAATATCTCAACGCGTGCACAGGTTCTGGGGCCTGCATGACCGAGTCAGTAGCATGGTGTTAGCTGCACTGGAGAAATTCAACAGAACTAATGTTGGTTTCTTCTATTACTCACTCTTAATTACTTGCCTCAGTTATATTAGTCTCGTTTTCAGCTGTGCCTGGTTTCCATTTTAACCCTCTTCTTCATGGTTGAAATTGATTGCAGGAATCCCAGTATAGCCTTCATGTTATCTGTGGTGTTAATGAGCTTGTATCTGGGCCAAAGTTTTGCAGCCACTTTCTGTCGCTTCTTCCTTTCAAATATCAGTATTCCCATATCAACTTTGTGGCGACTCTGGATGCTCAACCTCCAAAGCTCTTCTTTGCTGAATGTAACCTTGATGATCATAATGATACTTGGTGTGTCCCTGTGGATTGGTCACGCCCAGTTGGTGGTATGCTCTAGTCTCTTATCTCATGGGTCATGGTTTCTTATTATCAAGTCTGGTCAATTAGATTGACCTCTTTCATTCTTACTATTATTGATGCGTATTATACTGTCTATTGGTTACAATTAGGTAGACACACATCACGCAAGTTATGTGTGCCTACTGATCTGTCATGATTTATTGGTCACATCCTGACAAATTTTCTTATAAAATCTTGCGAAACATATGTAGACATCCCCAATTCAAAATATAGGGTGTATAATTAAGTCAAACTTTAGAAAAGTTGGCAAACAATTTTTTTTCAGATTTATGCTTGGCTGAGAAAGCTACATCAGTAGATTCTCATTCCACATATCTTCTAGTATGATTTATTTGAATTGATCCATGATATATTGCAAGAGTAATCGGTGGTCAAAGGACGCATTCCAAATTAAATACTAATGCGTCTATAGTCTATAGTCTATACACATTACTAATTTGTATTGTGTTGCATCTGCAGGACAAGCTCGAAGGGCGGGCCTGGTGCAAGCGGTGGAGTCTTACCGCCTATGACCGGAATGTCCCGGGTTCGAGTCGCGGTCTGCTCGCATTGCACAGGCGAGGATAAGGCTTGCCACTGACACCCTTCCCCAGATCCCGCACAGAGCGGGAGCTCTCTGCACTGGGTACGCCCTTTATTGCAGGACATGCTCGGTGCTTTTATTGTGAGAGTCATGGGAATAGGATCATCCATCCAGCCTTGTTCGTTTTCCATGGGTTTGACTTTGAGGAGGCCATCTTTGGGCCAGATACTAAAAGTTTTTATGACAACGACCAGACCATCTTCTTCAAATATGTATTTTTGGACTGGGTGAATGGTGTGGAAGAAGTTATCTACAACAATTACCGATTCCGTGATGACAATGGTAATGGGGGACTCCAACAAGCGTTTACGACTTTGATTATGTCGGTGCGAAAAGTGACCAACTAGTAAATATTTGTCGTTTTGTCGTACGTTGTGATCGGATGTGGTCTAGCACTAAATGACATAGGGTTTATACTGGTTTAAGCATCGTGCCCTACGTCCAGTTTGAGTCGGTCGGTGACTTTATCCCTGAGTCCAGGTGCTCGAAGTTTGATGTGAGGTTACAAACGAGTGGGAATAAAATGAGGGTATCAGAGGTCCGGTCGGACTCTGGACCGAAGGGCCGAGGGTGACGAGAGCTTCTACGTGCGCTAAGTATTGGAACGTATGCTCTGTGTAGCTTTAGAATATCTAAAGCTAGTAGAGAGTCGGAATGATCCGTGTGTTGTCTGTTGTTCGTCGAATCGATCCTCCTTTTAGGAGAGGGCGCATCCCCTTTTATAGATGAAGGGGACGACCTTGCAAGTGAGAGAGAGGGAGTGTGTGCTACCTAGTCTTCTTGCCCACGCCGTTGGGCACAAGACGGTTTGTCGGCGCCTACAATACTGTTGACGTCCTGATGCATGTGGTTGGTTCCATCATGTTCTTCTGGTATGACAAATGCCGGTGCCTACCATACTGTAGGACAAATGTCGGCGCCCACAACACTGTTCGTGTCCTGATATGTCTGGAAGGTTGCAAAGTACCCTTCTGACATGGCCTAACAGTACTGTCCTGCAGGTGTGCAGGGTACGGTCCTTGGTATTACGGTTGACTTGTGCACCTTACCTTATCTGCTCCGTCTGATTTCTCGGGTCCTCACCGAGCGGGTGTCCCCGTTCGGTCGTTCCCCGATCGGCCGACCCGGCGGGTGGGAGAAAAGCTTATGAGCGGAGGTTTAGCTTGTTCTCGGTCGGAGACGCGGGTCGGAGTCAGAAGCGAGCGTCACCCCTCCTTGGCCAAGCCCTCAGGTCCTAGAGGCGGGTCGGAGTCGGAGGCCTTCCGGTCGGAGACTGAATCACTTTTTCGGCTTGTCGTTAGGTATCTAGGCGGCCCAGAGCTACGCGTCGTCATAGCGTCGTCTCTTTGGGCGAGCTTTTTGCTAGAAAGCAGGCCCATTAGGGACCCGGGTTTATGAACCCGGCAGAGCCCCCGAGCCCCCGGGTGATTCAGGTAGAATCGTCTGGGGGATTTCTTCGTTTTGTCAGCGGGTGCGCGCGAGCGCATCCGGTGGGTGTAGTCCCCGAGCCCCCTGGCGATTTGGGTAGAATTTTCTGATGGATTTTCGACTTGCCGGTGGCATGCTTGAAGCGCCTTTCCGTGGGTGTAACCGAAAACTGCGTCCATTGGCGAAGTCGGTTGGAGGCTGAATATCTTGGTACTCTTTCCTGGGGCCGCAGACTCCTGTGTTTCTGCCGTTCGGGGTGTTTGCCCATGTTTGTCTCACCCGTGATTTGCGCGGTCGGTTGTTTTCCTGAGTCGGTGTCGGGCGACCTGTGCCCCGTTGGGTTCGACGGGGGTTGGTCTAGTTCCGTGCGTTACCCCGTCCATAGTTTCCGCAACCGGAGGAGTTGAACTAACGTCGCTTGCCTCGATGGCTCGAGTGACGCGCCCGGTGAGCTCACTAATGGGCTCGTTCGTGTGGAATCTGGGTCCATCGTTCATGACGGGGTCGGCATAGCCCTCATGTGGCATTCCACTGCTCCTTAACCCGTCTCCCGACAGATGCCTGGGTCATTCCGGAGACCGACTCAGGTGGCCTGCTGGCCTCCCCTCGATGGAGATTCTGTGGGCATGGCTCGAGGTTAGGATCAAACGAGAAGGTCGAGATGACCCTGTCTGCTTTTGGGCAGATCGGACGTGGGCCGCTGGGGCTGATCTGTGTTTTCGCCCCTGGCTCTGTTTGATGCGATGCGGCCTCGAGCCCTTCGCAGGCCGGCCTTCGAACCCTGGTCGGTCGTTGCTCATGTCGAATGAGGCAACTACCGCCTCGTGACGTAAAACGAAGCGTTGTGATGCATTAATTTGCATATGTAAAGCTTTGGATGTATGGGATGAATGAAGAGAAAATTCGTTGATTGCCACTGAAATCTATACCAATCTCTTCACTGCCATCCAAAATTAAGAGCTCCCTTCATTGCCATCCATTCTAATTTTTTCGTTCCATCGTTGCCACTACGATTACACAGCAGTCACAGCGTGACTTTAGTGCTCATACCCGACGTCCAGGAACAATCCGACGGTACAAAGAAAAGGTTGTTTTCAGTATCCGGCTTCGCATTGCTACCCGGTCACCTCCCGCGTGCTCCGCCTGGCGCTCAATGGGCTCGCGCTGTCCGTCCGCATGCCCCGGGGCCTCAACCGCCTTCCCGTGCTCGGGACCTCTCCTCGCCCCTGCAACAACCTCTCCGTGGCGCTCCGCTTGATCTCTCCCTCCTTGCCTCCCTCCGCCCGCTCGACTCTCCTACAATGCCTTCTCCGTGGCGCTCCCCGGCGACGTCGTGGCGCCTCGCCTCCCTCCGCTACCTCGACCTCCCGGCAGCGCGCCTTCTCCGACCCGCTCCCGCCGGCCTCCCCGCCACGCTCCGGTTCTGGTCTGTCGGCAACCAATTCTCGGCCCGTGTCGTCGGGGGCATGCCAAAGCCCGCTCTGCTCCACCTCAACGTGTAATAAAACCAGCTCTCCGACTTCTTGGGAAACCGCCGGGCGGCGCTTTCTGGCCGCTCGGCGCTGCGCTGCGCCGCTTCGACATGTCACACAACCAGTTCTCGGGCCTCGTCACCAACGGCATTGCTAGGCTCCACAACCTCAAGACCCTCAGCCTTAGCGGCAACCGGTTCTTTGGCGCCGTCCCGGCGGACATCGGCCTGTGCCCGCACCTCAGCACCATTGATCTTCGGCACCGTCCCGACGTCCCCGCTTGGCTCGGCAAGCTGGTTGCGGTGCAGCACCTGGACTTATCCGACAACGCGCTCACCGGAAGCTTGCCGGACTCGCTCGGCGACCTCAAGGCGCTCAAGTACCTGAGACTGTCCAGGAACCAGCTCTCCGGGATCGTCCCGGCCTCCACGTCCATGTCCAGGAATGCGCTGCTGAGCAAGGCGACGGAGATCGGGCATGGCGCGTTCGGCACGGTGTACCGCGCGCCCGTGGGCAACGGGCGGGTGGTGGCGGTGAAGAAGCTGGTGGCGGCGAACATGGTGCGGTCGCGCGAGGAGTTCGAGCGGGAGGTGCGCGCGTCTTTGGGAAGGCGCGGCACCAACTCGCTGCCGCTCAAGGGCTACTCTATCGACGCCAGCGTGGCTGCACCGCGCGATCCACGGACTATATGCGGCGACGGCAGCACAGGAGGCGCGGCTCCATGGCGTCGGCGGCGGGCGAGTTGCCGCCGATGGCGACGTGGAGGAGCGGTTCCGAGTGGTGTCCGGACGTCCGGCTGGCGCACCTGCACCAGCGTTCCGCCGCCGCTAGTCCACTACAACGTGAAGCCGAGCAACATCTTCCCGCTGGACACGGGTGCAACCGGCGGTGGGCGACTTGAGCTAAGCGCGGCTGCCGCCGGGGAAGGCGGCAGACGGCGGCGGCCACGGTACCTGGTTCGAGCGAAGCGGGCGGTGGAATGAAATACGTTGCACCGGAGCTGGCGTGTGCGAGCTGCGTGTGAACAAGAAGTGCGACATCTACGGGCTGGGCGTCGCTTGATCACGGAGCTGGTGGTGGCGGGCGCCGTGGATCTGGGACGATGACGTGGTGGTGCTCATGGACCAAGTGCGCGTCCTACTGGAGCACGACAACGTGCTGGAGTGCGTGGACCCGGGCATGGGCGGTCAAGTCCCGGAGGAGGAGGTGCTGCCGGTGCTCAAGCTGGGCATGGTGTGCACATCGCAGATCCCGTCCAACCAGCCATCCATGGTGGAGGTGGTCCAGATCCTGCAGGTCATCAAGGCGCCCATGGGCGGCGGCAGAATGGAAGCCTCCTTCTGATCCATCCTGACTGTCAGTCACGAGTCACGACCAACCAACCAACGTCCGGCCGCCGTGTGCAGCGGTGAGTCGCTCGTGTGCAGCGATAAAACAATGGCCATACAGAGGAGTTTATAACACCGTTAGTCTAAAATTGACGGAATGGCAATA